ATCATAAATCGTTAATTCGAGTCAAATTTTGATAGAATAAACTTTTCATTTTTAGGATTTTTTTTGCGTTTATTAATTGCTGCATCAATTATAAATAATATCATTTTACCGTGGACAGCTGGTTTTGCAATTTTTCAACTTATTTCATTTTTTCAAGTAGCTTTTAATTTAAATCTTTTCTATTCCGCAATTCAGTCATTTTGAAAATGTGGGGAAATTTTAATAATACGATAGCAAAAAAAAAAATTTAATAATTTTTTTCATTTTAGGATGATAACTCATTTATTTATTTTTCAGCATAAAACAAATTATTCGGAAAAGAATAACTTAATTACAAATTCACTGATCTACTTTGGTTTTAATGGGAAATTGGTTCTATATTTCGGTCAGTCTTAATTTTAATCATAATTTAATCATGATTTGAATCATAATTTATGTGCCCAAGTTTTTGCATCGAATAAATTTTTCAATATTATTATTATTGAATTTTAAGCGATTTAAAAAATTTATAATTTTTAATTTATAAATTAATTAGGATTTGACTTCAAATTATCGGATATTGAAATTATTCGGTCATATTGATTCAGTTTTATCATTAAAATTTTTTATAGGATTTATTTATCAAATCATATCGAATTATATAAGAAAAACGGCAGTGGTCGTATTTGGTTTCTTATTTTTGCATATTTTGATTCATATGTTTGTTGTAATTTCTAATGTTTCATGATAATTCGAACCAGCTTTTGGTTTTGCTGTAGAAGTTTTATATTATTGTTAAGTCTTGAATTTTTTACTTGTTTTTTGCCATTTATTTTTCTATTTATTTTTTTCTTTTATTTTTCTATGCCACAGGTTTTTATGGTTCAGTAAAAAGCTGTTCTTATTTAGTTTTATATTCATTCAAATTCTTTCATTATCATTTTATTCATAACATAAGCTTTAGGAAATGGTTCATGATTTGTGATGTTTCTTGATAGGTATAAAATTCTCAGCAAAATTCGAGTGGTTCTGAAGAACCATTATATTCCATCCAAGGAATTCTCTAGAAAAAGAATAATAGGTTGAGGCGTCAATTGGAAGAAAAAGATGAAAAGTGAAGAGCGCAAACTAGTGTTTAGCCATTTTTATTGCTTTTGATAATTGTGTACCTTTTTTATAAAATGGTATTTCATATAGAAATTGGAAGAAATTTTGTCACTATTTTTTGATTGTATTAAGAACTCTACAATTTTCATATTTTAACGAATTGAAGATCGATTGATCTCTTTTTATTTTTAAGTAAGAATTTTTTGTAAATTTCATACAATTTTTATTATGTAGATATATGCAGTCGTTTAGTCGATTTATGAAAACGAAATAAATTAGTTAAGAATTTGTGCAATCAAACAGATGAGCGAGGAATACATTGTTTGCCTCTCTTTATATATATGTATGTTATTGAGCTAACACATTCACATTCACCTCGAATTTATTCACCTCTTATTCACCTCGAATTCCATAAAATATTCCTTCGTTCCGAATTGCTTTTCCTCGCTGATGGGAATGCTTGGGATTTTCTATGATTTTTTTTATTTGCTGCATAAAATTATTTCAAATAAAATCGATTAAATTCGTTTTTAAACTATGTTTTTTGATAAATTTTTATTTATCAAGGTATTTATCCTTTAAAAGCGTTTCAAAAAAAAATAGGTTTCATATTTAACATCGCTTTCGGGCTCTAACTTGGAAGAAGTTTTTGAAGGTTCGTTCGTCATCAACTATTTAAGGAAAAAAAAGCATTTTTGAGAAATTCGTTTATGGTTAAAAAAAGGAAAAGAAGGAAAAAAGCTGTAATGATAATGGCAGTAACAACAGAAATTAATTTTAATAACTATTAATAAATAAATAGTAGTTAATAATTGTAAATAATAAAACAACAATGGTAAATGATAATAAATATTAATACAGTGATAATAATAATGATAATGTTGGAAGAGTTGCATAGTAATAGTCATTCCTATCGCAATAACCTTCGATTCAGTTGATAAGTCGACTTTGGAGATTGATAGAATGTGACGATGTTCGAGGAAAAACCAGTCGATTCACAAAGGCATTTTACCAGCGTACATTAGCATAGGTCTGCTTATATGGGGAACAGATCCTTTCGAAATAAACCGATGCCTATGAAGGCTGTGTCCTTTTTCGTATAATATTCAACTATGCGATAGACTGGATAATGGATACCTCTTGTCTGCACTCAAGAGGTGTCCAGATCAGTCCAGAGCGTTATAGTACAGTTCTTGAATATGCTAACGATGTAATCCTTTTTGCTGAATATTGTATTACAAATAATGTATTTATCAGCCGTCCATTTATAACGAAATGCAAATAATTGTAAATAGTGCCGAACTGAAGCGAAAGTTGGACTCAGGATCAATATATTTGAAACGATAGTCTTTTCGTCTTATATACCAGAAGCTGACAAAATATCTATTTTTATCGATTCAACATCGTTTGAGGAAGTGCCAAACTAAACATCTTCGATTCGTTCTAATGTCAAAGGACCAAGCGAAAGACGAAATCGCCGGATAAGAAATACGTTCCTCTGGTTGACAACCTTTAGGCTGTCGCGAAATCTCGATCAAAGGAAACTCCGTGTCTATATGGCTGCAGTTCATTCGATCTTGTTATGTGGTTGCTAAGCATTGCCAGTAAGAGTGGAGGATCTACCTTTGATAATTCATTTTACAGGGGTTCGCCGAGTGGGTAAATCTCACAAGATCTCCTCCTTCGCTCAAATACCGCGTGCATTAAGCCAGTGCCATCATAAAGCGTCGCCTTCGCTGGTTAGGGCACATTCTTCGTCGCCGACCATGGGGAATGATCGCTATTGCTAAACCAGTGATGTACGGCATCAGAGGTGGGCCAGTCAAGGCCTAGAATGATAGTCAGATTTTGAACGTATAGGTGAACTAGCGATATATGGACTTAGACGATGAAAAAAGGAATGGCTTCTTTTAATTTCAGGCATGGAATCGGTTCAAAAGTTTAGAGGTTTCAATCAGTTCAGCCAACATAGCTAATAATGTTGCAAATTGTACGACGAAATGATTATAAATTATAATGACGAAATAATAATGATAATAATTGTGTTAATAATCATATTTTATTATTAATAAAAATAGTTATATACAACTAAAATCGATCTAAATTCATTTTGAACTAATATAATACGCGACATAGCAATAATAATAATAATTATTATTATTATTGCTATTACAATAATAGTAATTATTATTGTTGTCATAGTTTGATTTCGCGTGAACATATATTGCAATTTTTATCGGTCTATATTCATTCCTTTTTCAAATAATTGCAATTAAATAATTCCTTCAAAATTTTCCTTAATTTTTATATTTTCGATGTTATTTGTTTCTTCTTTCACCGATTCATTTAAATTTTTATTTTTTCAAAGGAATAAAGAAAATTGATTTTTTGATGGTATTTTGAATGTTTTTTTAAATATATAATCTTCTAATTTTTAAAGGTTTTTGTTGGCCATTTTTTGCATTTTAGAAGTATAAAAATTGCTTTAAAATTAAAGCAATTGTGTGCAACGAAACTAAAAATGGTGTTAGAAGGAAAAAAGAAAAAAGAAATAAATGTAAGTTAAAAAGACGCTTTTTTTCATAAAATTTCAAAAATGTTACACTTTTGTGAATAAAACGTGCAACAGCAATTTTTATTCTCCGAAATTATATGTTTCCAAGCAAATAAATTGGCGAGCAACGATGTCTGAGGAGAAAAGGAAAATTTTGGCCGACTTGCTGCAACCAATTATTGAACGGCCATATTCATTTCTCAGTTCTCTTTCCCATTTTACGCTTCCAAACCAATATAGATAAATCGTCGGTGAGTCGGTTTCGAAGCAAATGCAAATGGGCTCTGCGAGTGGATGAGTGGATATTTCGTTGAATACGGGTAAATCATCGCTATTCGAGGTTTATTCTCGTCAAAAGACTGAGCGCTGTATTCAGTTCATACACATTTAAGACTCTTGGAAGAATTTTTATTCTTCGAATTTTACCATATCACTGACGTTGCTACAAATCATTCTCATTTCTCTGAAATTTCTTTCTTGTGGAAATTTACGAATGGTAAGCGAATAACCTCGTGCAAAGTGATTAAGTGATTATTTAAAAAACCAGTGAAGTAAATCTATGGCGCGAATCGATAAATAAATATTGAATGTAGTTTGCGAGGGAGAGTTCCACGATTCATCCCATTTCATCGCGTTTTAGAGTTTACCATTCGAGAATATTTCCACTATTCACAAATATTACGGTCGATTGTCTTCATTTATTTGTTTTCATTTCTGATTTATAATAATACTTCGATAATTTCGTTCGACGCGAACCTGTAATTATAGCTCCTAAAGAAAACGGTTTTTCGGGTCAACAAACCTTAATTGAAATTTTAAATAGCGAAAAATGGGTCTTTTAAAAATTTGCAGTAATGCGCGATTGTCGTTTATGCGATTTATATGTCCGTTTGTTTTCGCTAAAAAATATTTTCCGTTCGATTTTAATTTTTCATTATTTTCAGATGTTTTTTGCAATTTTCGATAGCATCGTTCTTTTGCATATCTCTGCACATTTTTCATTTTATGTTAATTCTTTTTTTTTTGAGAAATTTCGTTTGCATTTTATTTTTAGCAAATTTATTCGTATATTTTGTGCCGATCTTATGTGGAATATTTAGATTTTTTTCTTAATTTACCGCTTTTTGCTTCGATTTCGGCAGTTGCAAGAGAAACGCTTGGAACTTGGAAATACACTTACACAGCGGCGATACACTTCTCCTCGCAGTAGCGATCGTTCGGGCTCAACTTTTTTCGGTTGCGCATTCATTCCTTTCAACCGAAACAATGAGTAAAAAGCTTTTTATCCTTTTCGACCACTTTCACTTCCTATTTATTCTTTTTTAATGAGTTTGTTATATTTTACGTGGTACCATTGTTAATGTCAGTAGGAGGTGGAAATGTTCGTCTAAACGAAAACCGTTCCTATGCTGATTTACCGAAACCCGAAATCGCCTTTTGCTATGGCATTTGGATATCGCATTCAGTCGCTGCGTTCCTCATTTGCTATAATTTAACAAAGCAGTTATTTTATTTTATGAAGCAGTGGACTGTGCCCAGCAGGTTTCTTGGCTTTTTCCGCTTTTCTCTTCCTTCTTATTTTCTATTAAGCAGTTAACGTTTACAGTTATATGGACGGATATTTCATGGATTTGTCCGATATCGAATGGCTATTGTATCGATCATCGTTTCAAAAAATGTTTGCTGTTTACTTTTTACATTCAAGTTAGTTTATTTGCAGTTACTTACTTAAAGAAGGGCGACTGGCAAGCTAGCGCTAACTAACTAGTCAGGTCACAATGTTAGCGCTAAATTAGCAGCCAAAGCTAAAATGCAAAAATTACGATAACTGAGTAAGTCGCTCTTTGACATTCTCACTGAATAAAGAAATTTCTTAGGCTTTTATTTCTACACAAGTTTTTGATAAAACAAGTGCATAATTTTGAAAAATTTTGCAGTAGTATTAAAAATTTCTCAACGAATATTTAATTATGAGTTGAGGCAATATTTGCTGATAATATTTTGGATTTTATGCCAAATTTATCTCACCAGGTTGCTTTTTTCTTTTCTTATTTTTATCAGCTTTCTTATTATTACATAAGAAATAAATTTTTAAATTGCACTTCTTCACAATACTTCGTTACTTTGGCTCAAATGAGCCAAACTGATTCTTTTAAATTTTAATTTCGTTTAAAACCTCAAATCTCTGAATTTAAAAAAATTAATGTTGCAGATTCGGCGTTTAATGCAAAGGCAAACAATATAAACAAAAGTTAGATTAATAAGTAAATGACAATTAAAGTTAATACATTTCAGTATCTCATGTGTATTAACAGTGATAACTCTCGTTTTCCTATTAATTCCCATAACGCTGAAACTACGAGTGGAACTAATTGCGTGGATTTTATGCATTGCCTTTATTATAAAAGTGAATTCATTCACACATTTCAGTTTAGATCAAGAAATTTATTACCGAGAATTCAATTTTCATATTTATTCTTTGGTTAAGGTTATTTTCTCTTAAAAAGTTCTTCCATTTCTATGTACTCTTTATTCTTTGATAAAAAACAGGTAAATATTATTGAAAAAAATATGGGCGAGAGCTCGAACTTCTTGAGTTCGAGTTGAGTCTTACCAGCGTTGTACTTTTTACTTTTCTTCCTATCTTATATTCATTTACATATTTTAAGACTGAAAATATTTCTGCTTCACACTTCCTTTCAAATTTATCTAATCTATTTCCTTTTTTTATTAATTTATCGCTCAACATTCTACTAACAGCGCGCACTGTTGAATATATAAAAGTATATAAGTGTATTGAACAACATCTTTCCTAAAACATCTTTCCTTTTCCTTTCGCCAGTGGTTATTTGGAAATAGAGCTGTATCTGGGCCCTCAGCGCCGTTCCAGCCTGAATTTTTAATTCAGCAAATACTGCCTTTTTAAATTATGAAAGGAAGTGTGAGAATTAATTCGAATATGTCAAATTAAGAATATCAAATAACACCAACCAAAGATACCATATAAACGAGGCAAAAATTACTTATTATACCGAAATTCTAATTTAAAATGGTAAAAATTTGGAACTTTCAATTTTTAAAAGTCAAAATAAATTCCCCCACAAAATTTCTGCAAAAAAGTATGAATGAAGGCTAAGAAATTGGCAATTATTATGGCTTCAATAAATAAATAATTTCCTTTCTCAATTAATAAATTAATATTTTTAGATTTTAAATATTTGTATTTATTTGTCAAGAAATAAAGAAGTAAAAGTAAACAAACTGCATATAACTGCATTTATTCAATACATATTCTATCCGCCTTATTCTGTTTTAATTATGGTATTATATGAAAATTTTGATAAACAATTCAAAACCATTCATCACAAGCAACAATCAATGATCTCTTGGTTTATTAATTTTTTTAATTTAATGATATTTAATGAAATATTAAATATTATTAATTACAAACAACTATGCATCACTATTATAAAAAAGGATTATAATAAAGGATTTCTTTCAACTAAAATACAAAATTTTCAGGAATATCTTGAAAAAACTACTTCGCCTTATGATATGGTATTGTGTATTTGAATTTCTTCTACATATAATTCATACAAATAATTTATTTAATTTACCACTTATCAGAGTTGACAACTTCACCGCATATCAATGTTATTTATTCTATGCAGATATTTTCAATTAGAATACAAATAATTAAAACAAACCAGGATAAATTTAAATGATCTGCAATTCCTCTGAATTTTGAAAATGCTTGAGATAAACGAAATTATGATAATAATTTTGCTTAGGACAAACCAAGCTTTTTGATAATAACTGCAAAAATTTTAATGAATAAAAAATTTTAGTAGCATCAATAGCTTATGTTAATGGCAAATTATTTTATTTGAAATATGTGATTATATTTGGTATACCATCATGGTTTGCGACTATTGACGGAATGGAACCGCCCGAGCCACCAATTTGTATATCTCGAATTACATTATACTCAAAAATGTGGAGGTCCTTTGACCGAGGCCTCTACGAATTCCTCAAAAATCAAGTAAATTGTTGTCTAAAATTTAATAAATTCATTTAGTGAGGGTGAAGTTTTGTTATTTTTTCATCATCTAATCGACTTTGATAATAATGGTAATTGACTAAATAAACCAATCAATAACTAACTTAATAAGAAGCATTTTTTTCTAAGAGCGTTTATCGTTCTTGGTTAAGCTTGTCGAATTATATAAATTCTGCCAAAGAGCCATCAGAAATGCAGGTGAGTCGGCAACATCATCCGTCCAGGTTCTTTGAAAAACGTTTATTTCTGCCATAAACAGTATCCCGGTACTCCAAATAGCCACTCACTGAGCCATTTTGCTCCTTTATACAACGAAGGAAAACCAGCCCCGAACTATTTGAATTCATTTAGAATTTTGAACATATAATAAAAATAGTATAGTTTTTAATCAATCTTTTTGGAACTGATTTTTTTCAGGCGGTTTTATTTCGCCGGTAAAAGCCGCAAACTTCCTGACTGCTTCATTATAAATTCGTCATCGTCGTCCAGAATAATTTAAATTTGTTTTTAGGTGTACAAGCCAATAATGTATAGTTCAATGATAAAAAGCGATAATTTGAAGAAATTCTTTGCAACAATATTTGTATTTATGTTCGTATTAGCATGGCATGGTACAACAGCAAATTATATTTATTGGGTTTTATTAAGTAGTTTTGAACTTTTCATTGAAAACATTGGTGCATTTATAAGAAATACCTATGTTTGGAATAATTTTGCTAAATTTATTGGCGAAAAGAATGAGCGACGTATTATATCAATCGCATTAATTCTAACTGTTCTACCTGGTAAGAGAATTCTATTTATATCACTTTTATAACACTCAAAATCATTTAAAATGACTAACCTGGCAGAAGGGATAGAATGGCTCATTGGGTTGTTGTTCAATTGGGAGCGCCAATGCCAATGCTGAGGTCCGATTCCTCGCAGGAGTAAACCTATACAAAAATCCGGGTGATGCTGGCGACTCACATGTATTTCTATCGCCAATAGGCACAATGCGACAAGCCAGTTGAGCGAGTTTAACCAGTAATGGTGAGGACTCTTAAAAAAAAGTCCAGCAGAAGGAATAGTCTCCAAATCGCGACTTCACATAGTCTCTCCTTAATAATTATCTTTGAAAGGTATCTTTGGAGTATTCTTCTTTCTCGGACGCAACGCTGTTCCTGAAATGATTTTTCAACGATTAATTATTAATGCGTTATATGAAATTTTCCATCTAAAAGTTTCGTAAGTCTTTTTTTCCAATTTTTGAACAAACTATAAATTTTTCAATGAGAAAATTAATAAAAAAAAAAAATCATTTTCAAATATTCAGATAGTTCAAAGTGATTTTGAAAAATTGATTCATATAAAAGCAATTTTCTATTTTAAAAAATATTTTATACATATATATATAAATATATTTAATATATTTATATTTATATGTACAAATTATATTTATACATATAAAAAAATATTTAATGCATATTTTACTTTAAAGTAATTTGAAAATATTTATATTTACATTTACAAAAAATTTTAAAATTGCAGCTATTCATCGGACGGTTTTGTATTTTTACATTTAATGCTGTTGGGTTATTGTTTTAATAATATTTGCTTGGAACTCGATAAAATGTTTTCTAAAAAAAAGGAGAAATAAATAATTTATTCGCAAAAGTAAAAATAAAAATTACAAATAATCTCTTTCTCGTTTACTCTCGTTTTTTGTCTGTTTTATATTTAAAGAATCTTTTTAACTGAATAAAATGTTTCTTTCATAAAAATTAATAAAAAAGCGAAGCACAAAATTTATAAATATTTAAGCGAAATTTCACCACAAAATTTAAAGTGATATTTGCGCACAAAATTGTTAATCGGCGATTTCTTCGAGAATAATACGAAATTGAACAAAAAATTTAGAGCGAACTCGCGGACTGCGCAGTAAATTTACGTCCGTTGCGCGACGTATTATTCAATAAATCGACAAATAGAAATCCGCGTGAATTGAAAAATGAACTGGGAAAAAACCACGGCGAATGTTTTGTTTACGCCGAAACATTATAGCGATAGATATTTAGCAGAGAATTTTATTTAAGCACAAAATGAAATATACCAAAAATAAAAACGTTAAATCGCTAAAGAAGGTAGTTTTAAATTGGCGCCTTTTAAAAATCCGTTCAAGAACCTTGCAGTTCACCCTGACGGTCAATTCAATTTAATATAAATTTCTACTGAAAAATTTTTTTTAAATGCTTGAGGGTATATTTTGCAAAAGGATTGGGGAGGGGCGGCGGGGAGGGGGATTTTTGAAAAAACTGAAAATCAAAATTTAATAAAAATGAAATTTAGGAGGAAAATTAAAAATAAAAAATAAACTGCAAAAATATTACGGTAGAAGCAGCGCAATATTTTTCGCGAAGGAATAAATAAATAATATTCGTTGGGCAGTTCGCTGATTTCCGAAGATATTTACGATTGTTTATTTGCGTTATATAGTGAAACGGTCGAATTAAATTTTCCGATATGGGAAGTTCGTTTTTTACTTTTTTTTTCATTTTCCATTTTATTTTTGCAAATTTCGGTTTATTTTTATTTCATTTTATTTTAAATTTTTATAAATTTAAATTTTTACTGCTTATTTATTCATTTTATTTCATTGATTTTATTCATTTCGATTTTACATTAAATTTAAAACTTTTCTTTCTTATTTTTTTGCAGTCTTAAATTTGTTAAGTTTGAATTTTTTTTATTCATTTTTTAAATTTATCTTTCATTTTTAATTTAATTTTACTTCGCCTTACTTCGCCTTTAAGGATGTGCACTGAATTTCAGTAAAGTTTCTCGAATTTGTGAAGCCATTCTGCGGACTCGTTCCTGAGGTGTCGAAGCCGGAACGTAAGATTCAGTTTCGCGAAAAAATGCTATGGACAGCAATTACTTTATTCGTATTTCTTGTTTGCTGTCAAATTCCTCTTTTTGGTATTTATGTTTTATTAATTCATTTAATATTTAATATTAAAACTTTTTTTTAATGCACCATTGGTTTAAATTACTGGGTGCAAGGAAAAAACAATAGCAAGTATTAGCAGAAGCCGTTTCTTTTCTCCCATCCTAATATATATGTGCAGCTATGCATTTAAAATCTTTCCTGTGTCAGTCTCTAATTTCTAATTAAATTTCGTCTTCATTTTTCATAAGTTTATATTTTGGTATATGAAACGAGTTTAAATTTTGTGATGAACGGCAGAATAATTTAAACTGCATAAGCTCTCTGAATATACTTTTGATGTAAAGTATGCGAATTGAGAATTCATTTAGTGAGTGAGTATAGTTTACTTCGAATAAGGTTGGCCAAAAATTGAAGGCTTCTTGATAACTTCCATTAAATTCTTTCATAGATGAATAAATTACATCTTATATACATATACAATATCGTGTATATACAGATGGATGGTAATAATAACTTTTTATCACTAATTTCGCTGCTCTTTGCTATTTCTTAATGATTTTACGAGATGTAAGCATTTCTAAGTTAGACAGTTATTCCATATTAGAATTTTGTATTTTGCACTGCCATTCGATTAAAAAATGGATCAGAAATATTTAAAATATGGCACTGCAAACCTTGATAGACTTGTAAAAATAGGTATTTTCCCAGAGTTTGATAAGGCGAAAAGAGTTTCGTCATACAACCAGTCTTCGCTATAAGTCAACAATAATTGACGATTAGCCTGTTGAGAAAGGTGGATTTGATAGGGAAATACCCATATGATATCCACAGTAGCTTTGATTTTAGACAATATTAACAATTTTCTTATCATTTATTTATGAAGTTTTAATGTTTCGCGTAATCTTATTTCAGGTATAATGTCAACAGACAGTGCCGATCCGTTCTACTGGTTACGAGTTATCCTTGCTTCAAATCGAGGAACATTAATGGAACTGGGCATTTCACCTATTGTAACATCTGGTCTTATTATGCAATTACTTGCGGGTGCAAAAATCATTGAAGTGGGGGATACACCAAAAGAAAGAGCTCTTTTCAATGGCGCACAGAAATGTAATTTTTCCAGTTTTTCTCTCGTTTTTCATAAAATTTTTTCTGAGATAAATTTCAGAAATTTATTTAAAAAGTTTTTTCTTCTATATTCACTTTGAGTTTTTTCCGATTACAATATTTTCATGGAAAAAAAAATTTAACGTTGGTTACAGTATTTGGTATGGTAATTACTGTCGGACAGGCAATAGTATATGTTGCTTCGGGATTGTACGGTGATCCGGCTGAGATCGGTGCTGGTATTTGTCTTTTAATTGTTATTCAGCTTGTAGTTGCAGGTCTTATCGTCCTTCTTTTGGATGAACTTCTTCAGGTTATTTCTTTGAGATTGGTGAATAGATAAAAAATATTAAGTTTGTTTGGTTTTATACTCATTATTAAGTTTATCATAAATGAATATTTTATTATTTTAAAATTGCTTTAGCTTGGGAATTTCAGAAAGGTTATGGTTTGGGATCTGGAATTTCGCTATTCATTGCAACAAATATTTGCGAAACAATCGTTTGGAAAGCATTTTCTCCAGCAACATTGAATACAGGCCGGGGAACGGAATTCGAGGGAGCGATTATCGCTCTGTTCCATTTATTAGCCACACGCAATGATAAAATTCGTGCACTTCGAGAGGCATTTTATCGGCCAAATTTACCCAATTTAATGAATCTCATGGCAACTGTTCTCGTTTTCGCTGTTGTTATTTATTTCCAAGTTGGTATATATTATGCCCTTTATTTTACATGAGTGTCCATTTCTTCATATTTTGTCCATGTTTCAGGGATTTCGAGTAGATTTACCGATTAAAAGTTCTCGTTATCGTGGCCAGTACAGTTCTTACCCCATAAAACTTTTCTACACCTCAAATATTCCCATTATTCTCCAGTCTGCTCTTGTTTCGAATTTATATGTGATCTCTCAGGTTGTTTCTCTTTTATTTATTAATTTTTTCATCCTATTTTTCGTATTGCTTTTTCGTTTTTTCAATTATTATTTTCTTTTCCATTTCACTACTTTCTTGCGAGCTAGCATTTATATTCAGTGCTTTATTATGATGATTTTTCATTTGAATCGAGTTTATTTTTATACAGTTATAGATGTTGGCTGCTAAATTCGGTGGTAATATATTGGTTAATCTTCTTGGAACATGGTCTGATGCCGGAGGGTATAGAAGTTACCCAACAGGTGGAATCTGTTATTACCTCTCGCCCCCAGAAACTCTAGCGCATGTTATAGAAGATCCTTTCCACTGTATAATCTATATTGTTTTTATGCTTGGTTCGTGCGCATTTTTCTCAAAAACATGGATTGATGTATCCGGGAGCAGTGCAAAAGACGTATGTTTCTTTTATGTCTGATTAGTACAATATTATAGAATGGAAACCAGGCAGCTTTATTGTGATTTATTAAGGTGGCGAAACAGCTAACTGAACAACAAATGGTCATGAGGGGTCACAGAGAAAAATCAATGATCCATGAACTTAACCGCTATATACCTACAGCTGCTGCATTTGGCGGCTTGTGTATTGGTGCCCTTTCTGTCACGGCGGATTTTTTGGGTATATTTATGTTATTTTAACTATTCGGATATTTTCATGGGAAGTTGTTGTGTTGTTGTTTTTGAGTTTTTTTGTGGGAAGTCAACAATTTTGATATAGTTATATATATTAAGGTGCTATTGGAAGTGGTACGGGTATTTTACTGGCAGTTACCATCATTTACCAATATTTTGAAATATTCGTGAAAGAACAGCAAGAAGCAGGTGGTGTTGCGGGAATGTTCTTTTGATTTCTTCTGTTATTATTCTTGATTAATTGAGATGCGATGATTTGTGATGCGATATAATTTATCGTTTTTGATCGGGTTCAGTTTTCTTATCTTTTAGTACGCATAATTAGAGACTGAAATCGATTTCAAATATACCCGATTGTAAATATATAAATTTTGTTGATTAATTAGCAAACAAATGCTGAACTTTGTTATTCATTATAATTAATATATTTCTAAATGGTTTAAGAATAACTACAAGTTTGTTGTTTATGATGATTAATTTATTTGCAACGCTTTTAACGCTACAGTTTCGATCCGTCAATTAATAGAGTCTACATTTCTTATTGAAAATAAATGTTTTTGATTGTATTACATAGACATCACACCTAGGATTTTAAATCCATTGCATCACATTTTCTTCGTCGGAATCTTTGCAACAAGTCTTTTGTGGATGATATAATTTTTATATAAGCTTTGGGAAGTTTTTTTTTATCTTGACTTTTATCTTAAATACAAATAAGATTTATCAGAGGTTTTTCATGTTAAAATGGATTTTTCTAGCTTTCAAATGTTAATCCATGTGTTTTTCAAATTTCAAGTTTATAAATTTGATTTTTGGGTCTGTCGAATATTTGTAGAATAATAATGGTGCATCATAGAATACAAAAGAAAAAGAGGAATAAATTGAAGTCAGTCGATCCTTTCAACAAAAATGCCAGTAAAATCGAATTGAATTCGAGGTAAATTTGCTTTTATTTATGGATTTCCGGAATGTTTTCTATTTTTTCCCTCCGAGATACTGAGCGGGTTCAGTTTTCTTATCTTTTAGTACGCATAATTAGAGGCTGAAATCGTAAGGGTGGTTCTTTGCGTTCTGAGATGGAGTACACTCGGTGCTAACGTAGAATTTCGAGTGGTTTCTTTTAAAACCAGGGGTAAAATTTCTTAAAATTTGGATGAACTTTTTTTTATCTTGGCAAGAATTTTAGATTATGAGTTATCTACAAAAAAATAGGATATGGTAATGTTCGCAAGAAAAAATCGGACGATTCCCTTTTTTGTTTTTTTTTTTAGAGGAAAAAACTTGGAGCCTAAATCAGAAGAGCAGCCTTTGCCGAAAAGCTTTCTCGATTTCCAGAATTTAACTAAAACTTGCGAGAATCTGAAATCAAAATGCAAGCGAAGGAAGAATGTTTTAATAGGTATTAACTTTTTGTAAATCCTTTTTATTGTAAAAGTTTCCTAGCTTTCTGAAAGAATTTTATTATTTCCTAATAACTTTATAGCTATATGTTTAGATGCGGTAAGGAAAGCTGGTTTTCAGTTTCGTTATCATGAAAGTACGAAAAATTTGATAAATAGAATTGAGGCGATAACTCGCAGAGATGTTAGAGAACTAAAAATGCTGGTAAGATTAATTTTATGATTCCAATCGTCATAATTTTGATATTGATATGGTTATTAAAGGCTAAATTTGATGCAATCGGTCAAAATATGTATGAATTCAAAAATGAAAACAAAGTGGATGAATCTACAAAAAACGATAAGCTGGTATTTTTTCTTTATTTTTTATTGTTTTGATGTTTATCACAGTTTTGGAATCAAAAAAGGCTATAGAAATAAATATTTTGTTATAATACTATTTTAACCTTGAGATACCAGGAAGCTGGCGGTTCTGTGGAATCTCGGAGTTCAAAAACTAAACCTCATCGCAAGAAAAGAAAATCTCGTGCTCCTGACGAAGAAGATTTGATATTATATGCTAAAGGTTTTTAATTTTGGAAATATTACCATCATTTTATTTTTTGCCTTTTTACTTTTTGTAAATTCTTCTAGAGTTGTGGTGGTTCAAATTTTATGGGAAGTGATTATTAATGACTATTCATTTATTTTTGCCATTCTTAAGACTTTATATTTACTTCTTATAATTTTCATTATTTTCATTTTAGAAGTAATACCTTTTGGAAGTCGAGTGGATGCACCTCCCATTTTATCTTCATTTCCTCGGAAAGGAAATATATTTAGGGTATTAGAAATATTTTTACGGTTTTCTATTTTTAAAATTTTATTGAAACAACTGAATTAATCATTTATATATTTACCACCTTGTGGAAACTTTTTTTAAAAAAGATATCAAATTTTGTTGAAACCCTTTGTTCTCACTTTTGTGATTCTATGTTTGATCTTTTCAATTTTTTTATAAATATATTTATATATATATATAAATATATATATATAAAACATTTAGTCATCCCAAAAACGCAGTGATTCGTCCAAAGACGACGGCGTAAAAGTACAAAAGTATGGTAGTCTCAAACGTAAGGAAGAACTGAATATTGAACGAAATCGTGTCATTGAGGAATATCGGAAATTAAAGAAGCGTTGACATTATTTCAATGTATGAAATATATATATATATAAACATTTAGAACTATTAAAATATTATTGGAACTATTGAAACATCGTTATTAATTTCAAACATGTGATTTTCTCATATTAAAAAATGCAAGCGAATAAATGATGAATAATTGAATATATTGTACAATGCCTTGGCAAAGGAAAAGTTTCAATTGTGTAATATGAAATATTATGGCAAAAGGAAAATTGTTAGTGGAAAAAGGGCTAAAAAATTCTTTAAAATCAATATTTTAGATGAAAAAGGTTATGGAATATACAAGAAGAAAAAGCTCCGAACAGAGGATGATAAGATGATAACTGTACACGTAATATCCAACACCACTAGTGCTCCTGGTTCACCAGTTACATAAGCGTTAAAATAGCTGTTATTAATCCTTTTGCCTTAAAATAGTCAGAAATTGAAATAACACTGGCAATAACTATTTAGCAAAGAAGCATTAATTTAGATAAATTTACAGTTGCCTGAATGGAACTGGATTTATTTCAGCAAACGTTAGTTTGAATGGTAGTTTATTTGTTTTGGGGCTATTTCATATTTGTTCTGAGTGCCCGAATAGAATATTAGTTATGTGGAGGGTTAACTGTTTATCACTGTTCTATAGTCTTTAACTTCGCTTAAGGGTATAAGGGTTGCATTTTCTTTTAAAATTTATCATTTGCTTAAATAGTGATATCAAGAGTGCTTTGAAGTCCAGTGCAGTGCTTTGAAATGTCCAAATGCGGCAAGATTTTCGGTGGTTTTATTTAATATGTATAATGCGACAAGGATGAGGAACATTTCTTCGTATTGGTGTAATAATTGATGACCCCTGAAAGCGATAATCACTACGTTTGCCGTTGTAACAGTTGGAATCTGCTATTGGTGATGCTTTCTTGCAGCTACTTCTTTATTTTCTCTCTTCTTTGTAACTCATTTCTTCTGCACATTTTCCTTCTTTATTTTAATCTTACATAATAATTACCATTGTTTTTAGTTCCAAATATTTAGGCCGCGTTAGTTAACCTACGTGTTCAAATTTTTTACAGTCTTTCTTTCAGAAATTCTTTCAAAATATTCAGTATAGGTAATAAAATAATGGTAATAACGAGTTAATAGTGATAAGAAAAATGATAATAACAAACAACAGATGTTTACAGACATATAAGGTAATAAAGAGTTAATAGTGATAAGAAAAATGATAATGACAATAGACGTATCTATATGAAGTAAATATTTTATCAGTGGAGATGATGAGCGGTGAAAAATAAATCTTTCATCGTTGTGGAAAAATTCTTGTATTAATTAGTCCTTTAAACCTGCTATTCGCACGAACATACTTCTAATTACTTAAAATAAGTCTTACTAATCTTGAAAATGGCATTATTAAGCTTACTCTTTTTATTAGTGTAATTACTCTTTTTTTAAACACCGGTTAATCTTTCTTCGGCGAATCTACTTTGGAAGTGGAGACCTTTGGTACTTTCGAGGTCCATTCTTAATGAAAAATTTATTCCAATTAATGTATCCGTGCCATTCTTATTTGCAAGTGCTAAATAATAATTTCTGATTTTAAAAAAAATGAATAAGTAAATCTTCCAACGATGGCAACAGTAATGGTGAGATTCACAATAAATTTGCAGAAAATTTGAGACGATAAATTTATTAAGACGAAGTGCCATATGTTTCGCATAATTCTCGTTGTTAAAAGAACGAAATTTCTTAGAATTTCTTCCATCACACTTTCTTTCATCTTTAAAAAATTTTTTAGCCATTTAATCAAAATTAATTAAATGCTAAAAAATTTTATTCAAAATTTTTTACGTCATTTTTTGCGTAAAAAAGCGGAAATTAATGGCTACGTTTTCACCTCATTGTCATTTCGTTTTTTTTCCATTCTGCTCCATTAACAATTTGCCTCATTTTGGGTTTGCACGTGCAAATATGCATTCAAAAATTTTTTCCCATTCTAAAATTTTTGATTATTCGAAAATCTTCTGCAATTCAATTCAATGTTATTTGATTTTAACCTACTGTTTTTACTTTTTTTAAAAAATTCACCATAAATTTACAATTTTGAAAAAATAGAAGATTTTCATTTTGTTTTTTATTCTATTCTATTCATCATTGTTTATTATTTCAAATGTTTAAATAAATAAATAAATTTTCGATTTATATTTCATTAAATATAAAATTAATTAATTTATTAATTAATAAGATTAATTTTACAGTCCCAAGCGACACAATTTCATTACAATTCCAAATAGTTTCCACTTATTTGTTATTGTTTTTATTTAGCTAAATTATTCTAAATTTTTATGTGCTAAGAACCTAATTTTTGGAGCTTTTTCTAAATATTTTAATTTGTTTAGAGAAAAAAATTTCAGGTCGATTAAGCAAGGCCTCCTCTGAAAAATCGATCCATAAGCGATGTTTTCTGGCTTAGTTATTTTTACCTTTGTTTTAACAAATATTTGCGGCCAAGTATTAGTACCGCCATATACCAATTTGGCACTGGGAAAAAGAATCACCGCAACAGCAACATGCGGTGAAATTAATGGTAAACCAATAAAAGAAATGTTTTGTCAAATTGCTGGTGAGTTTTTTTTTAAATTTACAGTATTTCTTCCTATTATAAATTTTTCATAAGTTTTTTTCAATTGTTCCAGATGTAGGCGATAAATTTTCTTTTTATTTATTTATTTTTCGTCATTCTTCGCAAGAAAAGGTTAAAATTTTTGATGAAGAAAAGAAAAAATTTTTGATGAAGAATTTTTAGGTTCCAATCAGTATAGTCCACATAATCAATATTCTTATACTACTGTAAATGATCGTTTATCAGTATTTCAAGAATTTAAAGCCGAGAAACAATCATTTGTTCAAGTAAAATAATTTTATTTAAAATAATTCATATAATTTTTTGAGAAAAAAAATTTTGGAATAGAACTTTTATTTTATTCTTTCTTGAAATACTGATAGTATAATGATTAAATTTGCATTTAGGGTGGCCAAATTTGTGATTTCTGCCAAGCGAATACTTCTTTTGCTCATCCAGCAGAAAATATGGTTGATGGAATGGCAACCTGGTGGCAGAGTCCACCGTTAAGCCGTGGAATGCGGTATAATAAGATAAATATTACCATTGATTTGGAACAAGTTGGTTTTGTGTCTAAAACTATTGTGGGGTCAGTGGCTTAGTGGTAAGGTGGTAGCTAACCAGAGTAGCTTGGATTCCAAAATAACTCGATGAGCTATTATACATTTTGGAGCGACTTTGCTTGGGTATTCCTAGTAGAAAGAGCCTAAATTTTTACAATCTTAAATTTATATTCATCAGCAACCAGAATCCATGTTGCCTGAGCTTGACATCAGTGCAAATTATCATTCTCTTCTATCTGTCATCGGTGAGAATATTTTATTCCAACACTTTCATGCTACTGTACTTGAGATTTTAACCGTTTGTACCGATATTTAGTCTACTGTTATCCACTATATTTTCTGATATGTTTTCCATGTGAACATTATCCATTTATCTTTTGAGTGCTCCTACAAAAATCAAAAATAATTTGGTTAAAAATAATTTCAGAAGTCCTCACTTTTTTCATTTTTTTTATTTATTTCATAATTTTTATTTTTCTGGTAATACAACATATAAAGAAATTAAAAAATCTTTTCTGAACTAGAGCAATACTTATTTTTGCAATAAAGAATTTAAAAAACTGAAAATCACAGCTGTTTGTTTTTTCATAAAATTTTAACAAAAAATTCTTTTACGGCAGATTTGCTTTACACTTTGCAGAAAAAACTGTCTGGAAAACTATGGCAAAAAAATTTATTAACTTTATGGTTTTTGAAAAGTCTCTATAATGAAATAAAATGAATTTATTTTAAATTTGGTATTAGGATAATCTATTTATTTAAAAGTTCAATTCATTTATTTATTTAATTTTTAAGGAATTCCATGTTGCGTATGTGTGGATACAAATGGCTAGTAGTCCAAGACCAGCGTCATGGATTCTGGAAAGATCGGTGGACTATGGCAAAACTTTCATGCCATGGCAATATTTTGCGGAAACACCTGCTGAATGCGCTCGGGTATAACAAAAATAAAATTAATTGCTTGCATTATATTATAAAGAGAGAATTTTTAGAATTATTTTTATCTGCTTTAATCTTTTGGTTTTACACTTGGTTTTTGCAAAATTTTAATGAATTATCAGAAGTTTTCTCAATTTTTTATTTTTATAAAAGATGTTTTTAAAATTAATTTAGTAAAAATTTCTTAGCTTTTTGGACGAAACAGTCTGCAACCGATAATAGAAGATGATTCGGTGATCTGTACGCATGAATATTCCGGTATTCATCCAATAGAAAATGCAGAAGTAAATATTTTTTACATTATAGTTAAAGTAGTGATGCGACAAAAAAATGATATAAATGATATGTTAATATAATAATGTTAATAAAATAATATTAATAATATTAATAAAATAATGAAATAAATTAAAAGAATTTATGAATATAATTGAAAAAATAAAATTTGTGAGTTTTTAAATTTTTGAATTACTTCAGTTAAACAAAAAAATTTTCATGAGAAATTTCATGAGAAAACTGTAGGCATAAAAATAAAAACAAACATTAGAAAATAAATGAAACTATTCTATTAGTTTATAAGTTCTCTTTTTTCCAGATCATGATTAATTTAATGGAAGATCGTCCTGGTCGACATAATTTCAGTCATTCATTGACTCTGCAAAGTTTTTCTCGCGCAACCAATGTTCGTTTACAACTTCTTCGTACAAAAACGCTTCACGGCCATCTAATGGACGTTAATCGTCGAAATGACCCAACAGTTACTCGCCGTGTAATATTTAAGAAAAAATTCATCATTTTTCATGAAATAACTAACGAAATGCAGCATTCGTAGCAAACACAGTGATGCAGCAACAAATTTTCGAAAATTCGAATTTTTATTTATTTTAAATTCGGAAGCGAAATTTAATCCGAAAAAAGAATTCTTCTGTCATTAAGTCATTTTAAAAAAATCGAAGTATCAAAATGTAAAACTTGTTCGAAAGGAAAAGCAGAATTATTTTGGAGCTATACCCAAAATTTGCAGTATTATTACGCAATCAAAGAAATATTTATGGGTGGAAGATGTGTTTGCAATGGTCATGCAGGCACTTGCGATATCCTCGATGCACGTCGACCTAGGCTTCTTGTTTGCAGGTTAGCAGTTAGTTAGTAATTGAGATTTTTATCAATCTGCTATGGTTCCTTTTACAGATGTGAGCATAATACATGCGGTGATCAATGTGAACGGTGTTGTCCTGGTTATGAGCAGAAACAGTGGCGACGTACAAAAGAGGGAGAACATTTCGTTTGTGAACGTATATATTACAAAATTATTTTACGATGTTTTTCGCAGAATTCATAGCGCTAACCTGAATCTAATTTTGCAGCAGCTTTGTTGACTTATTATCTACTTCATCTAAGAATTTCAGCCTGTAACTGTCATGGCCATAGTGAAGAATGCGAATATGATGCAGAGTTGGACGCAAAAAATTTAAGCTTAGATATTCATGGCAATTACAACGGAGGTGGTCGTTGTTTGAATTGCCGAGTATATATTTTGCAAATTTTTTTGGATTCCATTTCCATATTTTGTAGCATAAAGTTGGTAGTTAGTAAGTTAATAAGTTGTTATATTTGTTTTTTCAAAGATTTTCTTCAAAAATCACTTGATTAGAGGACGAAATTTCAGAAAATATACACTTTACTGTCGGTACTTTCCCATTTTATGCGAAATTTCTGCTTCAATAAATAGAAACATATAGTTTGGTTCTTCGAATGAAATCGTCAATTTCAGCTATATTTTAGGATAATACAGAAGGCGTTAACTGTAATAAATGTTCGTTTGGATACTACAGACCAAAAGATAAACTTTGGAATGAAACTGATGTTTGCCATAGTAAGTTTATGTTTTTGCATGAATTAGTATAATATGAAAACATATGCTTGTAATATTCAGGATGTGTCTGTGATCCATTAAAACATACTGGAGCATGTCAGGAAGAAACTGGTCACTGTGAATGTAAACCGCAATTCACCGGGGAAAATTGTGACAAATGTGCTCTTGGTTATTATGGACCACCAGAATGTAAACCTTGCGAGTGCTCTTTGAACGGCACTATTGATGAAATTTGTTTGGTGCGCTGATTATGTTTTTTTTTTGCCTAAAATTGATGTTAATCTTTCATCTATTAAAAATTTTACTATTTCATCAAATTCTTAGTAAATAAAAATAAGTAAAATTCATTTTGATTGCTTTACTTTTTATAAAAGTGAGAAGATTTCAGCCCGAAGATGGTCAATGCCCATGTAAATCAAACTATGGTGGACTGTTTTGTTCGAAATGTGCATTGGGCTATACCAATTTTTCTGCTGGATGCATTGGTCTATATTTTCAAGTTTTCTGGATGATATTTTATAATTTGTATTTGCAATTTTATAATTTATAATTTTTATATCCAAATTATTTGAATTCTGAATTATTTCGAAAGAAATGATTTGCTTAGCATACTTGGCCGAATCGAATTGTCCAGAAAAGCTTCTGATTTATCTAAATATGATTGAAATTGACGTTAAAATTGGAAAGAACTTTCTAAAAATTAATTTTTTTTTCTCTTATAAAATATTCAGTAACTGCGGTTATCACTCTTAAGTTTTATTAATTATCTCAAATTTTTTTTCATTTTATCTTTTTACAAAAATTATTCTTATCAAAATAATTTATAATTTTATTATAAATTATATAATTATGCTCATTATTTTATTCTTATTATTCAAAAATTATTTTATTTTATTCAATTATTATTTTATCTTTATCTTTTTACAAAAATTATTTTTCTCCAAATCAGATGGAATCACATTCGTTGAATTCGCGTTAATTTTAGAATGCAAATGTGAAACGATAGGATCAGTTCATTCACACTGCAATGAAAACAGCAGCCAATGTTCGTGTAAATCGGGTTTTGCTGGGCTTTCTTGCGATAAATGCGCCAGTGGATACTTTAATTACCCAAAATGCGAATGTAAGTTATTTGATAAAAATGGCTAAAATGCCACTTAAAATAACATTCCAAGATTGCGAATAAATTTGCCTAAAGAGTGCAAACGAGTAAATATATATATATTATATAGTTGGCTTATATTAATGTTTATATATATATATATGTTTATATATATATGTACATCATTTTCGAAGCGATTAAATTCGACAAAGAAATGTAAAAATTAGGAAAAATTAGATTGTGACTGTGATCCAAGCGGAACAGAAGCGGAAATCTGTGACAAGGCTAGTGGAAAATGTATTTGTAAAGGTGGATTTTTTGGAGAAAAATGTGACCAATGTCAAAAAGAATTTTACGGATATCCGCACTGCAAAGGTACGAAGAATTTGTTTTTGTAGAATGGATGGTTCAAATTTTTAAATTTTTGATGGGTCTCGCATATTAATTAACTTTTTTCGCTAGAAAAATTTCTTATTTGGCCAAATTTTTCTTCAGCACAAAGATATAAGAAACAAAGACAATGTTAAAATTTCTTTTTCAGTTTATTTTCAAATTATTATTTTCATTTAACATATTTATTTTTAATTAATTTGTATTATTTAATAATAGTAAAAAAGAAAATAAATGTTTTCATTAGTGATCAAAGTAAATATTGGTGAAAAGATTTTTAGAGTGTAACTGTAGCAAAATTGGATCACAATCTTTAATATGCGACACAAAAACTGGTGATTGCCAGTGTTATGCGAATTTTACAAGTCGTATCTGTGATCGTTGTGCACCAGGTTTCTATGAATATCCGAAATGTATGCCGTGCTCTTGTTTAGCGAGTGGTTCTAAAGGTTTAACGTGTGACAGTCAAGGCCATGTACGATTTATCTAAACAATTCTTACTTAGTTCATTTCACCTTAATTAATTTTCGAGACAATAAAAATTTGCAATTAAATCAGTTTTTTCAGTTTTCTTAACAAAACCACAGAATTTTTTTTTTCAGTGCTATTGCAAAGACAATTTTCAAGGTGAAAAATGCGACAAATGCAAAGAGAACTTTTATAATTTCCCCATATGTGAAGGTATTTTTATTTTAAGAAGATATTTTGGTAAATTTTTGCACAAGAAACTTGGAATTTTAGCTGCAAAATAGATTGTCTTTCTGAAGATTTCATCTGAAATTAGCCGATTTATTGTCTTGTAAAAGTTAATTGTTGCAAAGCCATAGAAGCAGGGCCAAATTTTATTGAATTTCAATGTTATAAAAATAAATTTTTCGATGAATTAGTTAGTTATAGTCTTCCGTTATATAATATAATAAGCATATTTTAGAATGCAACTGCAATCCAAATGGTGTTGTGACATCATTTGCTGGATGTGATAAAGTTGCTCCAGGTGAGCTTTGTACCTGCAAAAGGAATGTGGCAGGACGAACCTGTGACCAATGCCAGCCAACGTATTGGGACTTGCAATATCATCACGAAGATGGTTGTGTGGAATGTGACTGCGACATAGCTGGTTCTTTATCAATGCTAAACACCTGTGATCTTGTCGATGGTCAATGTTTCTGCAAGCGTTATGCATCAGGACGAAAATGCAATAAATGTGCTTATGGATTTTATGACTTACAATTGCATAATCAGCTAGCTTGCCGAAGTATAATTTTTTTTGCTCTTATTATGTATTATTAAAAATGGAATTTTGCCATTTTTGTAGAATGTAAATGCGATGTTGGCGGTGCATTAGGGATCGGATGCGATATCAAGACAGGGCAGTGCAAATGTAGACCTCGAATTACTGGCAAAAGATGCAATGAACCCATTGAAAACCATTATTTCCCTACATTGTGGCATAATAAAGTTAATTTTGCAATATTTCACTTATAATCAATGGTCTTTTAAATCAAAAATTATGAGTCCCTTTCCTAAGGAAGAGAAAGGATCCGATCCATGCTTCAAGTAAATGTTCTTGAGATAATGAAAATTTTCAAAATGAGAGATGTACCGGGAAACTTTTCTGTTCCCTAGGGTGGAGGTATTTTCTAATTTATCTCTATTCTCTATTCTCTAATTAGTTAATATCTGGTCAAATTTAACGTAAATTCCTTTTATTTTATTGCATTTTTTCTCCTCTCATTTTTTTATCGAAATTTTATTTTTATCGAAATTTCCTAAAATTTTTTAATTCATAGTATGAAGCAGAAGATGGATTATCACCAGAAAATAGAGCCGTACGTTTTGCCACTGATCAATCTCTTTTCCCGAATAGCTCAATGAGAGGATACGCTGTGTTTTCTCCAATCCAGGATGAGGTGATTCTTGAAATAACCATTAGCAAAGCTAGCATTTATCGGCTTTTGCTTCATTTAATGAATCCAACAACGGTAGATATTGGTGCAGAAATCATTATTACTCCAACATACACTCATACTCAAGGTAAGATTTTAAAATTTCCTCCAAGGGCTTACTTTGTTATATCATATTAGTAATAATTCAATCGGCCAAATCAGTATATCGAATTGTTTCTTCAGATGTAGAGCAGTCGGTGAAAGCGACATTTTCACCAATGGATATGCCATCTACTATCTGCGTTAATAAGAATCAACCATTTGTGTTAAATCCAGGACGTTGGAGAATTCATATTCGAACAAAACAAAGATTGTTTTTGGTAAGATTGCCGCTGTTCAAATACTATAAGGGATCATGAGTTATATTTATGAAAAGGACCAACGTTTCTAATTACTTTAGAAATCGAATGCAAGAGATATTCACTTAAGGCATATATGTCCTGGCCATGGACAGTGGAGATAACTGACGGACTTGGCTTATTTGTTTTTGCAGGATTATATCGTTTTGCTGCCATCAGAATATTATGAAGGTACGCTCCTAAAAGAAAGCCCTAATGAACCTTGCGAAGGATTAAGTAAAGAAAAGAATAATTGTGTCGATTTTTTGTATCCACCCTTAAAAACTGCTGCACGTACAAGTGTAGAAGATGGTCTCATGACTGAAACAATTGAGGATGAGACCGTGCGAAAGCCATTAGAGAAGGTTATTCCTTAGCGAATTAATTAAATCATTAATGTTTGTCATTTAATGGTTTTTCTTTTGAAGATGCCTATAGAAATATTACCAGCAATAATAGGAAATGCGGCATATATCAGAGCTGATAATCGAAGTCGGCAAATCCATATGGAAATTGAAGTAAATTTTTCAATTCTTATTCTTTAATTAAATAATTAAGGATTAAATAATTAAATTTAATTGAATTTTCACGGATATTTTTAAGTTTTTCTATGGATATCTTGAAATTTTAGCCGCTTATTTCTTAATTTTTATTCCCGACACAATCGACTAAGGATTGCTAGGCGAAATTCTATGGATTTGGATCGCTGCTCATTCGACTGATTTTGCTGGCGTGATTGACCGTAGAAAGTGCAATTTCAGGCTCCTGAAACCAGTGATTATGTTTTACTTGTTGAATATTATAATCTGGAAAAAGAACGATTGCCTGTCATTGTTAATGCGTCATTAGATTCTGGAGAATCTTTGTTAAAGGGGATTATTGCAATTCATCATTGTCCATATACGTTCGTCTATTTCATTTTTAAATGACTTAATAATAATTAAAAATAATTAAAAAATCGTTACTAAAATTGCTTAAAAAATTCAAATTTTTCTGATATTTTGATTTATTATATTGTAATTAATGATAATGTAAATGATAATGTGAATGTAAATAAATTAAATTTAAAAAAAGAAAGGAAAATATGATAATGAATAATGAATAAAAATAAAATTCAGTTTCTTTTGTCGGGAGATAGTAACGAATTCTGGCAATCTTTCGGTGATCCACTTAAAGGAAAATGATAAAGTTCATATCATTTTTGATATACTTCCATTGCATCAGTTTGGACTAGCTGCAATTAATTTAATTAAATTGAACGATTGGTCTACAGATTATCTAAAAATGGTACTTTTTGACTGGAAATTTCGTCGATTTGATATTTTTCTTGTACGAATTGCTCCCTCCTCAAGTGAAATTTAAAATTTTCAATTTTATTACAAAAAACAATTTGATTATTACACTTTCAAATTCAGATCCCGATTTGTGTGCGCAAAAATGATAAATGTGTTGATCAATGGTACCCACCTGCCGCAAATGCAATTGTTACTGAGGCTGAAGCTGATGATAATTTAAATATTTCTATTTCTGCTGAAAATTTGCCTTTTAATGTTGCAAATTCAAAACATGTTTTTGTAATACCTTTGGATAAAAATCAGGTATTTTTTGATTTTATTAATTTTGAAGCCAAAATTTACTTTATATTTTATCACGACCATAATCATTTGGAAAAGCTTTTCAGAAAAAAATTGATATTTCTGGAGTTGTGCCAATAAATAATTATTATGTACTAATTGTACAGTATTACAATCCTGATAACGCTCCATTTATCAGCAATGTTTTATTGGAAACTGACCGTTCATACAAAAGTAAATTTTCATAAATCTATAATAAATCTATACTATTCGATTCTGGCCAGCATCGCAATCGCTTTTCTTCTCGTGGTATCTCAGAATGAATCTCAAAGTTGACGATTATCATTTTTTATGTCATTTAGATCGTAATAGTATTAGAAAAATTATTTACTCAAATTCACTTCATTTCATCGATTTGTTATGCGAAGAAAGTATTTTTGTGAATTAAAATTACTTGATAACCTCAATCTTGCCGTTATTACTGCAGCTTACGTTCCTTTTGCTTATTGTCCGAGTATATTCGGTTGCCGAGCCCTAATACACCATAAAGAACTACCGGAGTTGACACGTTTCTGGATCGATAATAATTACAATGCATCATTTCACTATAATGCAAGTCAGAATGGTCCACTCTATATTGTAAGTTTTTTTTTTCAAACCTAAAGCTTAAAATTAAACATATGAATGTTGTCGGACTTTTCAGGACTCTATCACATCTGTTCCATATCAGTCGTATTCGGATGCATTAATGGAACCTCAGCCTATCGACTTATCAACTGATTTTGTTAAGAACTGCGATTACGATAACTTTAGAAATGAGTGAGCTTATTAGTTTTGATTAAATTAATTTGCCAGTAAAAAAAATTTTAAAAATTTTTATACACGGGCGGTCGTCTCAAGAAAATATTCTCCATTTATTTTGTTTTATTTGTGAATTTTTTTTTGAAATATTTGAAATATTTTTTAATTTCTGATAACGATTCAGCTAAGTTCTAAATTTTAAAATTCTTCTTTTTCAAATAAAAATAAAGAAAAATTAAAATAAATTATACATTAAATCAATTAAATTATATAAATTACAAAAAAAAGTTATATATATATACTGAATAGTTTTTTTAATTGCTAGTTTATTTTTCATCCTTCCTTTATTTTTTTTTGTCTCTCCCTTTGACACGAATAAACTTGCCGTGATAACAAAAATCCAGGTGGTCACTGGGGCCCACCTGTAACTATAGTGGTTCTATGGTGAAAGAATTGGGTCTTCTTGATACGGCGTCCGACACCTATGATATTCTCATCCCGGTGCGATAAATATATATAATCTTGGCATAGTCAAACGATCTGAAGGCTTAAGAATATGATCTGCTCGCGAGCCACGATAACTACTCGAAACCTATTTAAAAATTACTTCGGGCGTTAATCCTTGTCTGATTTCTGGTTTGTCTGGCTATGATGACTATTTATAATGCGATCCTTTCGTTAAAGAGTTACTAATGACAGGTGTACATGTTGAACCATTGACTTCAGTCAGTCCATGCAGTCCATTCCGAAATGTTATTCGAGCGTTCTAATTTTTAAGCATCGATCAAAATTTTATAATATTTGCTTACCGCTAAAGAAATGCCTGAAACCATTGAAGAAAGAGATTTAAAATTTGGCTTTTTTTCTGGAAATTTTAGCATGATTTTTATTCAAGCGTTTTTTTTTACTTTCCATTAGTAATTGTATTGTGCATTAACTAGTTAGTTGGGTAGTACCAGGTTGTACCTATTTTTTTAATTTTTTTAAGATTATAAGATTTCCTATTTTTTTTTAGATTTTTCAACTTTTTCCTTGTCTTCGACAGGAGTGGACTTGTCATATCAAAAATCCGAGTGGCTGCTGAGAACCTACATGTAACTCTATGCCCAAATGACTCTATGATGGAAAGGTGTGATATCCTTGAGACGACGTCCGCATCCTCCTACGCGTATGACTTCCATCGCAGTGGTATATACGATAAGTATACAATCCAGGCATAATATAGTTCCAAGGATTATAAATGTGAGATAAAATTATATATTTGTGAAAAAGGATTCATCTCGATGAAATAAAATTCTTTATAGAGTGAATAAGCAATGAGCCACAGCCATTCATTGTAATAATGGCAGCGCCATTATTATTATGCATATATCAACCAGTTATTGTAGTTTATTTCTTTATTTAATAAGCGTCAGAACGCTTATGGGCGTCGTAAGCCAAGCGATCACTATCCACATTCTTTCTAAATATAATGTGGATGTTGTCTATGGGAAGTCACTTCTACATTTCGGGTCTCATGTAAACCAGGCTCTGAGCAGATACTGGCTGTATCAATGTAATCAAATAACCCAGGACAAAATGGCGTAGCAATTATCTTGCCTGAAAAAGTATGGTCCACTCTCATCGAGGAGAAACCAATAAGCGTGGCCTATACTCGCTTCAAAGGATATTTCTGCAATATTTCGGTCATCAGTGTAGGTGCTTCCACTTTAAAGGCAGATGACCGCGATAAGTTCTGTAAATAACTTCAAGGTAGAGCGCTCGCTTTGCATGCGAGAGGTCGGGGGTTCGATTCCCCCATCCTCCAGGGCCTTTTTCACACTTTTATTTCAATTTATAATATAATATAATATAATATAATATAATATAATATAATATAAT